AAAAAACCACGCAAGATCTACAGGGTATGTGGCCACGTGTTTGTTCAGTAGGGTTTCCCTTCACTCTCCCTAGAAAACCCACAGTCCTCACCATGATCAAAATACTGAACTAGACAGCTTCCAGATCTTACACATATGCAAAAAAACTCACCACCACCAAAAAAAACAAACAAACAAAAAACACAAAACAAAACAAAATTTTAAGTTGTATCTAAGTGAAAATAAGCACTAACAGTCTATAATTATCCAGGTTAAAATCAAGAGATTACAGGCATACCCAAGTACTTAATTAGTCCCCTGAGATCCACAAGGTACTCTATGTCTGGAATGAAGAAACTGTGAACTTTTGTCATATGGGCCACATTCTTCATGAGGGATCTTGAATGGTGGGAACAGAACAAGCAGTCTGTGACTGGTATGGCCCCGACAGCAGGAGCACTTTCAGCTTCTGCCTGCTCCTCCTCTTCTTCTCCCACACTTTCCATCTCTTCATCAGAGCCAAGGTCTTCATCAGAATCCATATCTTCCCAGCCTTTTCAATGGAAAATTAAGAAAGATTTATTTACTTGATTATTTCTTCTAGTTCCCAATTAAGTTAAAAAACAGTTTTCAGAAAATATTGCATTATCTATTCTTACAGCTAAGTGCCACACGCTTATTTCCAGGTGCAAGGTTTTATCATTTCCAGTAAAACAACTTTTTTTTTGTAAAACACACAGCAAAGCTCAAGACTGGTCATAAAAAAAGCTGGCAGGTCTCATTTTTTTCCCCTCCATTTTCTCAACTATTAACACTTAATTGCAGTTTCAAAACCTTTAATTTAATTCGCTACAGCACAAGAACACATGCATGCTTCATTAAAAACAACACAACTCCGTCAGAAAAATAGAAACACTCATTTCCAGCAGTGACTTAGCAGCGAGGGAAAACACACTCCTGTTCACACATACTTCTTCAACCAAGGAGAAGAACAAGCCAGTTCTTGCAGTTACCCAAGATTTACTAACAATTTTACATGCTTGCAAGATTACTGCAGCTCTCAATGCAGACTACAAGCTACAGAGGATCGCCCACAGGTACTGACCATGGGCTTCAGGATTCATCAGGGAGGGCTTTAACTCCACAGGGAAATGCTGTTTCTTAAATTTATTTTGAGCTTTTGTAAATGCACAGAGCCACTACCAAATATGATAGATGTTTAAAACCAACAGAGTGCACTTGATCTACATCCTTAATCAGCTGTCAGATGCACTATTAGCTAATTATAATTTGAAAAAAAAAAAAAAAAAAGGCTTGTGAACCAGGAATCTGGTTATATGGGTAGAGGGATCTAGAAATGGTTTTCAAAGGGGGCAGATGCGGGACAGAGAGCATTTCCCAGTTCCCTGCTCCCACCACCATGGCACAGTGTTTGAGAACAGGCAAAGGGACACTCTCCAGTGCTCCAGGATGCTAATTGAAGATCTTTGCTACAGGATATAGTTTAACAATTTTAATGAGACTGAGTTAGCAGGACGTGTAGGGAACATGCCTGGGCACATACTTAAAAGGCAAATTAACACTGGGAAACCCACCGAGATTTAGCGTCACAATTTATGACAAATACATTAATACAAAACTAGTGCAAGCTGCCTTCTTCTCTAGGTGCTAAGCTCCACGTTCAGCGGCATTCGTTCCTTCTCCTGTAGAACAGTCCTATCCCATGCACAGATTCCCCAGAGACTGCAACTGACACTTCACCAGCACAAAAATGCTGTAACAGACGTAGTAACATGCCGCAATGGTTTCAGTACTGAGGTTGGAATAGTATGTTCCCATTTCATTCGTTCCTGGCCCCCCTGCTGCCGTTTAATCACCCCATTCCAATGCTCTACTAGATGCCTTTGTGGCCTGCACTGTAAGCCACAGCACTGAAAATGTCTGGTTTACAAATAACCCCTCCTGGGAGTCCGGAAGCTCTGATTATTTAATTTGTCCACTTCCCAGGCCAGCCCCCAGCAAAGAGCTGTATCCACACAAGTGGCGAGGGTGGCGCAGCAGGAACAGGCAGGCAGGGCAGCACCTCTTAAACTATTTTTACTATAGATGCCAATGTGCTGAGGAATTATGCCACAGAGTGGTGGTCTAAAGAGCAAACTTCCACGTCTAGTCTTGATGGGCAATTAAAAACAAAAGCCCCACTCCCGTCTCTTCTCAACAGATCAGTAAAGTGAACCATGGTACAAATAATCCTGATTGATTTTTGTTCATTTCATTTACTTTTCAGAAGTAGTTTCAGGGTAACCTTCTGTGCTGGCCATGAAATTCCCCTAGGACTTTACGCTGGAAACAGTGCTCACAGCAGTGCTTATATCCAGCCCTCACACGTTAGTATCTTGCACAGCTGCCTGATCAGACACTGTAACATGGAGGCCCTAACTGCGATCATGGACCAGCCTTAAATCCTCTGTTCAGATGGAAACTAAATCAACAGGAAGACCTTATGTAATTAAAAAAGCTGCACTAAAGAAAATAAAGGAGGCTTTCATACAAAACCAACTACACAGCTTATGCCCAGCTACCTGCCATCATCATATTTACTGCCTTACCTTCTTCCGTATCCTCCTCTTCCTCTGCCTGTTGCTTGGCCAGCTTCTTCGCCTGTTGTTCAAACCACTGCAGACGTGGCGGTTTTTCGGATCGTTCTCTACTCTGCGACTGACTGGTGCTTTCCATAGAAACGGGAGAGCTGCCTGCATTACTAGGGGGCAGAGGTGTCTTCTTTGGTGATGAAGATGGCTGAGCTCTGATGGCTTGCTGTATAGCTGCGTTCATTTCATCTTTGTTCACGCTCTCCAGGGCAAGCCCCTTTTCCAGGTTCTTTTCATTCAGTATTTTCACCTTCTCGCTGACAGCTTGAACAGCCTTCTTCTCCAACTCCAGGTGCTTCTTGGACTTCAGGTGGTTCTCATAGGCGTTGAAGGTGGAGAACCTCTTGCTGCAAACCGTGCAGTAGGTGGCAGTGACTTTGTTCTTCTCCTCTGCTACTGCTCTCTGCGCGAGGACCCTCTCCTGGAAGTTCTCGGCGGTGACGGGCGGCATATCGGCCACCTTGCGCTTCAGATTGTACCTGTGCCAGTCGGTTTTGTAGTGGGCACGCTGGATGTCAGCATCCTTGAAAGCCACGCGGCAAGTGATGCACGTGTAGGTTGCCATTGCTAGAAAGCGGGGAATAAATAAGTCACGCTAATAAACAACCAAAACAAACCAAACCCACCCTGACAGCACCCATGTCAGGCAGCATAGCAGCTGCAGTTCAGGCACAAAACAATGTTTGTGAGATACCAGCGTCAGCAAACGGCACGTTACCGACTGGGAGGATCGCAGTACAGAATCCCGGAATGGCTGGGGTTGGACAGGACCTTAAAGCCCACCTACCGCCACCCCAAAGGCTGAGATGTGGCTGTGAGCAATGACGGGCACCACAGCAGCACCTCCGCGTCCCGGCTCCCAGGGCTCAGGCACAGATCGAGGGGGGCTCCCCGCCTCAGTAACAGCCCTTCAGGAGCCCTGCTCCCTTTCCCCACAGACCAGAAGCCAGAGGCTCCCACCAGGCCCCGGACTGACGCCCTCCTTCCCCAACGAGGTCGGTCCCGGTGCCGGTTGCGGCCTCGCTGCGCCACCAGGAAGGGCCGGGCCCTGTCGCCGCCTTCCTTCCGCGGGCGGGGAACGATCGGTCCCCGCCATGCCGCCCCCTGCCGCCGCGGCGGGCCCGGCCCGGGGGCTGCTGAGGAGGACCCCCACCCGCCCGCCTCGGGAACAAAACGTAGGGGGAGATTCGGTGAAAGATAAAAACTAACACGTATTTTATTAAATGATTTTTTACAAACAATCGATATAGTAATTCCATGTTTACAAAATAGTAATCAAGCTAGGTAAAGTGCTGCGAAATAGTTTAAATAAAGACATTTTGTAATTTTCCAGTTTCTGGTTACCTGTCGGGGCGTTACGGGCTGTTACATTGCACTTGGAGTACAGTGAGGTTGTTCTGAACGCTTAGATGAACAGTCTGGAAAAGTGCCAAACAAACAGAGAGCAAGTGAAACAAGCACTGTCTTGTATCCTGTTACTTGGGGTTAGCATTATTTCCCCTCCTCCTCTGTGTAGAATGATTTTGTTTTCAAGAACAAGACTCGTGGTAAATGTCTAGCACATGCACAAGGAGAAGTGCTCTGCATTGAAAAGTGCTTTTATTCTGGACCTAATGCATGTAAGGCCACCAATTCAGTATTGGTTACTCAGATGTAATCGCGCACAGGGAAATTTTGTGAGTACGAAGGAGTGAGCTGCATCCCACAGACGCTGCCCTAACACACGTAGCTTTCTCCAGGTGCAGGTACATGAAGAAGCCACTGAAAGGCAAGGAGGAACGTGAACCACACGACTGGAGGCAGAGGATGCAGAGCTGCACGCACGTAGGCAGCTCCTGCATGGCACAGATCCCACGAGATCACACTTGGCATTACCTCCTGGTCGCCTGCTCACACGTCCGTGCTCTGCAATTCACAGCCTCCACACTGATTGTGCTGGTTTTTGTCTGTAAATTGTCCGAAAGCAGGCCTCCTATGTAACAAAATTATGTTCCAAAGCCATGGCCTGTCACGTACTCACTTGCCCTTTTTCCTGCCTTACTTTTTTTAATTTTGGAATATGATGACAACACTTGGTTGCAAAGACTGTGTGGACGATTGGCAGATTACATGACAGGAATTTGTATGTAACAGCTATGTCATGGCTGCTGCTAGAATACAGCAAAATGAAGGTTTCTCATATGATTTCCAACTAAACATGGTGTAGAAGGGATCTCATGAAGGAGAGAAATCTTTTCTTTGTGTTTTGCTTTCCAACTATTGTCAGTGAAATGTGTTGTGTCTGAGCAAAGGGTTTCTTACTTGCACTTGCTTAGGAGGGTAGAGGTAACTTTCCACAAAAACTACGCATCTTTCCACTACCTTAGGAGGAATAGTAAGTGGTAGAGAATTACCTCCTTCCACAGTATTTAGGGGCTTGAATAAAAAAAAATACCATGTAATCAACTACCATGAGAACAGACAAAATTCAAGACAGTCAAATAAGTAATTATGTCCCTAAGCTTTAATGATTTGCTTTCTCGAGTTTTTTTTTTTTTTTTTAAATGGAAAGTAAAAGCAAGAGAGACACATGCTTTATTGAAGAAAAATGGATCTGTTTTTCTATGTCGAAACCAGAAAATGGATCATTTACAAAAAGTCTGAGAAACTCCTCCAACTGCTTATCCTTCTTGATCTAATTATTCTAGAAGAGCGCCCCTGTGTTAAGTACTTTTATAATCACAGCATTCTTCATAAAACAACAATAAAGTGCACGCTGTTGCGATGCCACCACTGACAGCTAGTTCGCATGTCTTGTCCACCCACTTCAGCAAAACTCGCTGAGCGCTGCTGCCTCTCCAGTTCTCCCTGTCCTGGCGCCTGTTGCATCTTCTGGCACCAGCGAGTGCCCTTGTTCGGGAAGCACGCTTGGCCTAGGTACTCTGCAAAGTCCCGTCAGCAACCTGGAAGTTGTACTCTTCTCAATATATAGATTGTCCTATACATGCAGCAGGGAGACAATGTTTTTAACTCGTCTGAGAAACTTAAATGGCCTTTCAACTTACTCATTTCTCAGCAAAAGCCTCTTTTGTTTTTGTTTTTCCAAATGAGAAGGACAGACTTAGGGAAGTTGAAAATGAAACTTAACAACTAACAGTGTGAAAGCGACATGGCCACATTTTTAAAATGATTTCCAGTATCTTGTTTTTAATGTTAAGATGTTACCATTTCAAAAGCTGCATCTTCTGGGATCTACATCCGGCATCTGCTTATTTCAAAATGGATTGGATAATGAAGGCACAGGCTCACTTTTTTACTGGTAAAGGACAGCAAACACGATCAATATGCATTACTGACACAAAAGCACAAGCAACGATAAAGCCAGTGTCAAAAATTATCAGCATCTTTTCTTTAGCTACAATCTGTTTGGCCATCTGCCTACTTTGTCACCTCAGGAAAAAAAGAGTTAAACACAGGTTTACCTACACATACATGTTAGTGAACATTTTTTCACTCCGTTGCTGTACTTTCTGAGGGTCCTGGATGACAGTATTCACCTCTTAAAATGCCAGCAAATGGAAAATCACTTTAGTAGTAGTAGCAGCTGACATGGTCCCTCGACTCTGCTAACTGTTTACATCACATTAGAAAAACTAGCTTTACTTCTTCCTACTTCTTTGATTACTATTGCTTGGTATTACAATTTGATTATATTAAAGGTGAACAAAAAAGCCCTACGAAAAATCAAACAAGTAACCTGCTTAAGATCCCATGCCATTCACTGAGCATACATGGGGTTTAAAATGGCAAATAATTTAAACAAGTTCATTTTTATTTTACTAGTTTAGGTGCCGAGAAGATTCTGAGTGACTTCTATAGCGAATGACCGCACTGAATACTTTAAGTGTATTAAGAGATCCAGCTTGCAACACAACTTTTGTTGCAAGTGATGGCAGCTGTTCCAGGGAAAAAAAAAAAAAAAAAAAAGAACAGAAGAAAACAAAACAAAACAAACAAACAAAGAAAAACCCACACAGAATCTTGAATTACAGAAGTGGCAGCGAAAGAAGCCCTTCTCTTTGCCTCTAACTCTTATATCTTCCCTAATCCAAACAATAACTACCCCACCTGCTCCCCAAAAGGCTGTTCAGTTTACATATTAACTCTTAAATATAAAAATGTGTTGGCTGACTTTACACAGGCAATACTGCCAAGGACCAGACTCTATCAAGGAACACAGCAGGTGGTCAGTCAAATAGCGTGCCACGTTACAACTCTACAAGCCTAAAACAGCAAAAAACGTGGAAATGCATCACCATATCCAAAATAATTCAAAGATTTTAAGTGTTAAATCAAGTCCACTGATGACAGTGTTGCACACAGTTAAACTAGAGTTCTGCTGGTTACCGTGTTCATAAATAGTAGATGCACTATACCTAATAATAACTGCAGGGCTCCAGACTTCTCAGTATGACTGACGGAGGCGAGACTTAGTTAATCTCACTGCAATCCTCTGATAACTCATCCTCGCAGTGTGAATCATTAAGATTGCCGGCCAAGGTTGGCAACTGAGAATAAATAAGTTGCCGATGTTGAAACTTTGGCTAAGGACCCCAAAATGTATGTTTGGCAAAAAGATGAAAAAAAACCCTCTTCCCCAAACCTTTTGAACAACTGACCTCCAACACTCATCTGCAACCAAACAGTGGATAGATAATTCATTTCCATACTATAACATTGAGGTTTAACTACCAGAAACATTAAACTATCAGTATCAGCTGATATTTATCCAGTTAATTCACTCTGCATAAGGGAAATTATTACAACACATCTAAAGTGATAGTTAAAGCTTACAGCTCAGAATTTTCCTTTTTTGCATTTGATTTTGTGTGTGTTTTGTGTTTCATTTCTTCTGTGTCACCAACTGCAATTCCCAGGTTAATGATTTCCAAGCAGATTTGAAAGGAAGCCTGAAGACTTCTTTTTCTCCTGGGATTCTGCTTCTTGGCCTTGTGAAAGTCCCAATTCTTTCTCAATCTGCTCAAGCTCAGACTGGTCAAGCAGTTCAAAATCATCGGCTTCCTCTGTGTCTGTCTCTTCACTCAAACTGGGCACTGCATGCGAAGAAGCTTGCTGTACAGACTGCAACTGGTCTTTGATGGCAGCAGACACTGCAGCTGCGATGACATCCCCAGCAATTCCACTCATTAAATTAAAGGTTTGGTCACTGGTCAAAGGCAAGGAGAGCCCTGCAGTGGATGGTCTCTCTTTACTCTGTCTGGAAGAATGATCCACCTTGAAATATGTTTGTTCTTTTTTTCTTTTTTGCTGGATGGGCATACCGATGCTTGAGTCATCATCATCATTTGTTCCTGCACCATTTTCTAAGGAAGGGAATTCTGCAAGATCTCTAGCAAAAGCTTCCTCATGATCACTAGGTCGGTCAAAATCTATTACACAGGATTAACAGAAGGAAACAGCGTTAGCAAACAAGAAACGCTTCCCCAAAAAAGCAGCCAAGTGTAAAAATGCAATTAGTAAATTTTCCTTTGAATACATTTACTATTCTGTAGTCTTCTGTAATCCTAATGCAGAAGAGCATTATCTTACATTTAAAATAAAATAAAAATCTAGTCCTTCAAATCAACTGTTATCAACGTGACTTTGAATTTGGGTTCATAGTGTGTGTGAAAATCATTCCAGTCCCAAAAAAGAGAAGTAACACAAGCATTCAGTTACATTACATTTTCCATTTCAGTGACTCCACATTAAAACTTTCTACCTAAAGTCAATTTGCAGTATTTATGTAGAGATTTGGAAAAAGTGTTTGAGAACGACTCTTTTCAATAATATTTGAAGAAAAAAAAGTGGTATTTAGCTATATAAAAAACAACCCATGCAACTCTTCAGCACAGCCAGTTCTAAATACACCAATCAACTAAAGTGCTAAAATTTATAATGTGAGAAGTCTTTAAACTCCTTTTCTTCACTATATATAGATATATTACAAATACGTGTATATGAAGGTATTACAGACTTTTAATAAGCTTTTAAAAAGTTTAATAAACTTCTAATAACACATTTAAATAAAGATATAAAAACAATGTAAAGACTTAATTCATAAACTTTTGCTTTCACATTCAATGCTTGTACTAAATAGAAGCAAGAAAATGGGAACTCTACAGATTACTGGTATACATGTAGTTTCATGTTTCAAAAGGATAAAAAGCAGAATGTAAACAAATAAAAGACTTGATTTTAATGACTGTTTTAATAGTATGTTATTAGAAATGTGGAAAACATATTGATTACAATACACGGCCTGTGGAATATGCCTTAATGAGCATAAGGAAATACTTTGGTCTAGTAGACAGTATATGAATGTAAAAATAAAACATAATCAATTTGAACTTACTTTCTATGAAAACAAGCAATATGAGCTTTCATAAGGGCTAAGGAAATGAATCCTAAAAATGTCTGACACATCAATTTCATCATTTTTCCCATTTTCTTTGGGAAAAAATAGGCTGGAAAGGTGAGGAAGAAGGGTTATGTTGTCTGCAGAGTGGTGGCTCAAATGCACAGAGCTTTGACAGGAGATAAGACAGTCCTCGGGTGCATCCCATCTGGTCTTGTACTTGTGTGCATGTCCAATTTGCTGAAGGGCTCATAGGGGAGAAGAGTGGATGTTTATTTTTAACTTAACAAGGCCTTTAATAGAATTTCACACATTATCCTTACAGCCTAATTGGTGAGTGAACTGGGTTGGCGAACTGCTTGGTGTGTGGAAAATTGGCTTGACCACCAGCTCAAGGGGCGGTGATAAGTGCTACAACATCCAACTGGGTGGTGGTGTCTCTCAAAAGTACAGACACCAATGCTGTTCAGTGTTTTTATTAATGATGTGATGACTTAATGTAGCGCACTCTCAGCAAGTTCACGGACAGCAAGGAGCCACTGTGGGGCAGGTGCATTTAATATTCTGGAGGTCAGGGCCCACAGAGGGACCTTGACAGGCTGGAGAAATGAATGGGCAGGAAGGGGATGTCATGAAGTCCATCAAAAGCAAATGTGAAATGCTGCATCTTTGATGGAATAACCCATGCAGCAGAACTAGCTGGAAATGAGACAGAAAGTGGCTTTGAAGACATTCCAATTTATCATTCCTTGATCATACGATACTATTTACAGCTTGAAATATTAAAAAAATATTTTAAATTATTAACTTGGCATTTATAATGTTGATAAGTATTACCACCCTACTTGCCATTTTCATTGAATATCTTCCTTGAATAGAACTGCAAGACCAGAAGAGAAATAAACCCACACATAAGACTGCACCAAACTACTGCGGTTCTTAATATTTATTTGGGCAAAGTACTCACTTAAACTTTGTTCTGTAAAAAGTACGAATTTCAGGATCTAGTCAAGATCAAGACAAGTGCTTGAGAATCTCTTCCTAAGTCTTAGTTTTCATGTTTCATTCAGGTTCATGGTTGGATGACTTCATCAGCATTGTAGTATCCAGAGCCTAAAAATACTTTCTTTAATTGGCTGTTTAGCAATTCAAAGTATTCACTTCTTCTTCCTCAGCTTTTATTCATATTGTTTACACCGAAAAGCATTGATATGAACTTGTTTGCCTAAGAGATCTGATGGAAGAGAGAGCTAAGTCTGGCATATATCCAGATGTGTCTGTTTTACTCACCACTAGCTATGTATTTAGACGCTTAGTTCACTACTTCATTATTTTTAAGATGAAGACAACTCTCATAGAAGATGTATCCAAAACAAAATAAGCACTGGAACTAATTCTAAATTCACTGTAGGAAAGAACAAACAAAACCAAAGCCAAACCCCACTTATGTCCTCAAATTCTCTAATAGTTTTCAGATAACTTACACGAGTGCAATTCATTGATGAAGTAGATGAAGCCACTACATACCTTCAGATGTGTCTGTCTGTGGAGAATACCCCTCGGATAAGTTAAAGGTCCCATTATCGGTCCAAGATACTTCTGATACATCTGTGTCAGACACTGACAGCTCTTTGGCAACAACTGCAGGACTAACCTACATACAAAGAAGTCCCATACATAGCATTCTTACACTCAAAAAATTCACACAACAGGAAGCCAATGCTTAGATACTGAAAAAGAGATCTCTTGCATGTCACAGCACTATACATTGTCTCCTATTTAAGCTTTAATTGTAGAAATGTGAAAATAACAGTATAGAATACTTAGAAGTGAAGCATCCCTCTTCTTAATTGAAGGCGGTTTTAAGCTAAAGAAGTCAGAAAATTCAAATTATTCATTGTATAGGACTTAAGTAATATCCTAGTGTAACAAAAGCAGAATAGGTTTGCAAATACAAACTACGCATAAATATAAAGAAATTGTAAAAAGTTGCATTGAAACAAAAAAATTATCCATAAGGCAATCAATAAATAGCTAAATCAAAAAATCATTATCCTTTATGAATTTATCCAATAACATCTGTAACAAGTTTTTATCTCCCATGACATTTTATTATTATATTTTTCTTGCATAATACAATAACACCTTCAAAGCAATCACTGTTGAAGTCAGGTTCTACACACGACTGATCTAATGCTTAAGAACTTAAGAAGACTGATCTGCTTAAGAACTTCTACAAATCCAAATTATTATTTTTTTAATCAACTGATGTTCCAATTATAAAGGAAAAATCCTTTGCCATATAGTTACTTAGAATATTAAACGAGAAAGGAGGCGTTAAATTATTCTCATATATACCTGGAAAGATATCTGTAGATAAAATACTGATTTACACTATCATTGAATATGATCTGACAAGTAATTAAAGTATCTGATGAACAATGTAGGTCTTCTATGAAGATTGCCCTTTTATAATTTAATTTGATAAAAATTACCAGCAATTTTACTTTTGAAAATGAAACAAAAAAAAAGTGCCTTTTCTAAGAAATTCTGGTTTAATCATTCTACAGCCAATATAAACTAAACACATTTTTAGTTTAGTAGGCCAAAGAAACCATTATCTTGAAGGCCAGAAGTCACAAGTGCACCAAATTAATTAGTATAGGTTTAAAGATGGAGACTACAAATCACTTTTAAGACATACTTAGTTCAGGAACAGAGCCTCCTAGAGAGGTTAAAGTCTTCCACAGAAAACTCTCCATTATCTATATAGAGTTTAAAAAGAAGATAGGGCTGACTGAAAAAAGTCACCTTAGGACACAGGGCTGATATGTCTAATTCACTGTCATCTTCTGTGGGTTTTGTTTTTGCTGTTTCTGAAAGACAAAAAAATATTTTTTATCCTACTCGTGACAATGGACTTCCAAGTTCTGCGTGTGTACTATCACACAGCTCGAGTACAGCAAACTGTCACCTGTTGACATTGTCTGTCATTTATGTAATTATGCTACCAAGGTGAGAAGAAAAGGCTGATCAAAAGGCTAGATATTTATCAAAATATATTATGCAGCAGCCAAAGCAGGAGAGAGAATGTTGCTTTGAAATGCATTCCAACATATTTATTTACCTGTTTTGTACTTCCTTCTGAAGCCTCTGTTGCTCACACTAATATAACGTGCCCTGGCAATATATCTTTTAAATATAAACTTTTAAATAAATATATACCTTTTTAATATAATCTTTTAAACTACGCTGCCGGTACAAGGCATAATTGCAACATACTGTTAAAACATAGTTATTCCAACACATTGCTTTTATATGAGAACATACAGTTTTCTGGATAATTGTGTTTAGTCTTAATTCACAAAACTTTCCTTTGCACCCAGCTATACTACTTTTGTAACATTTATATGCAAATATGCATATAAAGCATCTCTGAAGTCTGGCAGGATGTTGCTCCTAACAATGAACAGAAAAGTAATTTTCACCTTATCACCTCTCTCTCTCTCTCTCAGAACAGTCTCGTGAATATTTTAAACTAAGATAGGCCAGTAGCGCTGGAAAGCACAGTGACATTCTTCTTGGTTGCCAGTTTTTACAAGTTGTTGCTTCCTCTGTGGTGCCAGTACAAGGGTCTGTGAACTCAAGAGCAGACCCAAGTGGTGAAGCAAGTTAAGGAGCTTGCCTGGGTTAAGTTAAATTGGAGGGTGACAGGCAGGAAAGCATGACTTACCTGGACCATTTTCCCAGAACTGGCTTATGAAATTTATGAAACAATAGTCTGATCTCTCTCTCTCTGACAGATTCACTTAAAACTAGAATAAGGTCAAATAGTGCATGAAAAAAAAAAAAAACGACTAATGCATTGATTTATTTTTATTTCTAACAACTACTGTACCATATGTAAGAGATACAAAAAGGCAGATGGTTCCACTCACTGTGTGCAGGAACAGCACACTGTACTGTGAACTGCTATGAGGAATGCCCATTTTAAGATAGGAAATCTACTGATGTGAATCTAACTAAAAAAGGTTAGGCTACCTGAAAATAATCTATGTACAACTACAATTTGGTTTTAATGACCAAAACTAGTACACACAAAAAGGCAACCACAGACAACTTCATTCACACTTTTCTTAAAACAGCTTTATTACTTAAAATCTAGAACTATCTGATGTTATAAAGAATTCATGTGAGATAGGTGAGATTTTGTTTTAAACCCTTGTCTATCTAAAAGCTTTCATTAATTTGTAGTTACTATCCTACTACAATTCTTAAATGTTTACTGAGTATTTGGGGAAGAAAACACCTCTTTTTTTCCTTGTTGCTGTTGGGAACAAAACAAGGCAGATTTAGATGCTAGAACAGAATTCAGGCTCTTATTGAAAATGTGATTTACTACTTTTGTATCCTTGAGTGGTTCTCTGTCCTGGATGAGTTTGTCTATCTAAAGAGAAATAAGCATTTCATACTGTACATTAAGTAGCATTTTCTGAAAATCTACAAGCAGTACAGTTAATCATGTATAAAGAGAACCATCGATCTTGCCTTGTTTTCTCCCGTGAAATCTTTTTTTTTTTAAACTATACCCAGATGTTTGACATACTGGCATACAGATGTTCTGACTACAGATCATAAAGCTTATAATGGTAGCCAGGTTCAAAGCACAAAATACCTTTACATTTGATGTCAGAAGACAAGCCCAACTGTGTGCAGGGTGAATAAAAAGGTCTTTGCATACAGAAATATATTATTTGGTACTACACTTAGTTACTCACCGGATCTCTCTTTTTTCTTCTGGTTAATGTATTCCACTATTCCAAAATCTAGTTTCATCAGAACAGACTTGATTTTGTTGCACAATTTCTGTCCAAATTCATTGCACTTGAGGAAGGGACATAAAAAGGCACACAATACTGTGATAAAAATAAAGACAGAAAATTTATTGAAATATTGCTTTATAATAAGTTAATAAATAAAAAATAATGCATTGTTTAAGATCATAGAATCATAGAATATCCTGAGTTGGAAGGGACCCTTAAGGATCATCAAGTCCAACTCTTGACACCGCACAGGTCTACCCAAAAAGTTCAGACCATGTGACTAAGTGCACAGTCCAATCTCTTCTTAAATTCAGACAAGATAATTACTAATTTTACATAACACAATTAATTTTGCATAAAAGACACGGTGAAATCCCCATATCTGATGAACTGTTAACGTCAAAGCCATTTTCTAGGAGCTATTTCTACTCATCACAAAACAACACCATTGCATTCATAGCAAATTACACTTTTCTTAGTTCTAGTAAGGAACAGTTTATGATCACAGTATTACTTATCATTATCTTGACTTAGTCTGATTTTGACATCTCTACCTGAGATACATAGCTATACAACATTATGCCAAAATCAACAAACTGAAAGCTGACTTCCAAAGGACAAATAACATGTTAGAACCTACGTGTATGTGTATATATGTGTATACACACACACACATATATATAAATACTACTCCCTATATGCACTACTGACCACATAATGAACAAACCATGTACATAAATCATGAATAAAGAGAGACTCTACTTACACAGAACATAGGAGAGGACAACTCCAGGAATGTAACTTCCCAAGACAGTGAAAAATGTACATATACTGCAGACGAGTAGGCAAAACTGACAAAGACATTAAAATTGGCCATTAATGCTTCAATTTTTATAAATATTTATATCGTTTTGCAAAAGAATAATTCTCCAGAATGTTTGACTCTATATGTAATATAGAATGCAGTGGAAAATAATATATATGTATATATTTAATTAGAAAATTCTTTAATGCTTCTTGTAAATAAGCACCAATTGTGCATTTTGGCTCATCAGGATGTACTTTCTTTTCTATTATAAAAATATGCTATTTTTGTTCTATTGTTACTGTACAGGTTTAACAAGTTCACAGTTACCACTAAAATTGCTAGAAATTACTTTGCCTTCATTACACAAAAAGAGCTTAGCACTTAATCTGCAGGAAACAAAACAAATCACTAACTGCAATTTTACAAAATGCGTACTTGCTGCATGCTTTCAAAAACCAAGACACCCTTCCTATGAGTAGTACAGTTGTGTTATTTTCTCTCTCAAATGAGAGTAAGCATTCTCTTGATGGCTGTTGGACACTCCACATCCCCATTAGGACAAGACTGAGCTGAATTTTAAACATAAAACCTAATATTCAACCTCTGCTGTGACTGAGACATAAAGTGCATCTTTCTGAAATGCACAATGCTGAATACAGACCCGATCTGTTCGAAGTTTACAACAATTTTGCACACAGCACCTGTGTCTAATTTGCTCAAAATTAGAAAGTAGTGACACGTCTCAGAGAATGAGTTCAGGAAAAAGAAAGCAAAATGTTGTGAAAATAAGCTTTTCTAATTCAGGATTAGATATATCTTAAAGATACAGTTACTTCATCATGTTACTACAGGACAAAATTATAGTACAGTGTATACTGACAACACATTTCCTTACCTCAGTACACACCAACTTCTTTTAATCATAACTTTATTATCTAAGCCACATCATCACTTTTTGTGTAATTCATACATCTTTGAAATGTATTTGATCCTGTTGCTTGATCTGTACTTTCACTCTAAACTCCTAATATTTGCATGCACTACTACATAATTCCTTTTTGCTAATTCTGAACGGTTGGAATTCATGAAGGATTTTGTAGCAAAGTTAATTGTGATCAAAAGAGGGAAAGATAATATTCTTATTTTACATTTTTATATTTGGCAATACGAATGTAAAAATTAAATTTACATTTTCCAGTACTATTGCCATAACATACTGCTACATGATTTACATTTTTCTTTAAAAAAGTAAGCTGTCTCATGTTGGGCTACAACTACATAATCATCTTCTTCCTATTAGGAAAGAATAAGCCTTATTCTTGCTTGCCTCTTCATGAAATGGGGTTCTCCAGCTCAGTCTTTCCAGATTTAGAAAAAAAAAAAAAAAAAAAAAAGGCAAAAAACAACTAGAGTTGTATAGAAGAAAAATTATCAGAATAAAATATGAAGAATTCTCTTCTATTACATAATGCATATAATACAGCTATTTCTGAAAACTACAATTATTTGGAAAAAAAACACAGGCATGTTTAAGAGCTTTTTGTTTGCTTTTGTTTTGCAAGTTATTATTAAATCGCCTTTCCATGGAATGACTGGTGAGGTTCCAGCAGCTAAAAGACGAGGAACTATATTGCAATAAACTTTACTGTGGGCACTTTTTCTTGCTGTTTACCTACCAGTGATCTGCACAGGTAGCACTTAGCAGAAATTAATGACTGAATGTGTGTGTTTTGCTTTTCATTGTTTTTCTTTTTTTTCCACTTTTGTATCAAATTGTATCAAATTACTACTCTTACTTGGCAGTGCTTACCTTGCCAGGGTTTTGTTCCTTGAAGTGGGACATTTCTTGAAGAAATACAAATAAATTCATCAGTGTTTCTGAAATGCACTGATTTATTCTGAGTCTGTAGTCTTGCCTGGAACTGATGACTTCCCAGCTAAGTAAAACAAACACAAACACCCAACAACTTTGGTTGTAGCTCATATGAAAGTTAGAACTGGTTGAAAACATTTGAAGCCTTATTAGCTTCTAAGCCAACCATGCTATACATGTATTTTATATATTTTTTTCTTTACATGTTGTAAAAGGTATAAGAATTCACAAGCATTCTGGATTTTCTGTTGAAAGTCAGGGTTGCTTTTGTCCACCCTTTCTATTCTCAGTGCACCACACTGGGAGTTGCAATGCACACCTCCCTAGCAAGAGCAACAGGGTTACTTACACAGCACAATGAGATAAAGGTTGAAAGAAAATGGGCTGCAACTCGAAGGAAAGTTACACATATAATTGCACAGACTACAAGAGATATATTGATTATTCCAAAAAAGATAATCTTCTGATTTGCTTTTCTTAGGAGGGCTGAGGTTATTTGCTACAACTTTTCACCTAGTTTTGTCAGCATGCAGGACAAACTAACCTGGCACTCACTGAAAGAACAGTTATTAAAAGGGTCAAGTGGCCTGAATTAGCAGCAGCTTTGATCAATGAATCATAATAGCACATAAAATAACGTAGCCCACGCATGGGCTACGTTACAATGGGTTTATTACACTGTAATGTCAAATGTAAAGAGGTTTTGGATTACATTATTACCCCAGATTTCCTGTCATAGATTAATAACGAAACTAATTAATAACGAAGCTATGCAAATGGTAGCTAACTATATGTAGAAATGTGTATTTCACTTTTTTCCCAACAAAAAAAAATTGCCATTTATACATTTACAGTCGATAACCCCAAAGTTATACCACTTCTATTCTGTAAAATGACAAAAGAAAAAAAAATTAAATGCCTCTGAATTTCAAATCCAATGTCCCAGCAAAAGGTCAGTTCTTGAAACCTGTAACTATCATTTCAGCCAAAATCTGGAAAACATCTTTTTTTCCTCTGCCTCTATTTAACTTCGCCAACAACTTGCACGCAAGCTGTGTACAGCAACTTCGCCACAAGGTGGTGATACAGCAACAGCAGCGTCCGAGTGAGGTTTAGAAGCCATTTTATACGGAACTTTAATAGCATAAAAGGGAGGGGAGACAATATTCAAACTGTCACAATGCATAGAAAAGCACAGAACACAGCTTTTAGAAAAACTAGTATTTCAACCACGGTGTAAACCTGATCGAAGTTTAAACCCAAACTGTTGCCCTATTCCTGGTGTTGTTCTAGTATTTATTATAATACAGTATTTGCCGTAGTATTGAAGTAGCGTGATTACCTCCTACATTACTGAATATTCAGTGAGATTTTTTTTTTCCTTTAAGAAAAACCACAAACAATTTTAAGTAGTGTATCTGAAAGCCACAGGACAAGAATCTCATGCCTTGGACAAAACAAATACTGCAATATTGAGAAAATGCAACACATTTGCCAGCCAAACGTGGCACTGCATGCAGGTGCTTTCCTCTGACAGAGGATGTAGGACATAGCTAAATTAAATAGCTTCAGAAGAACACTGTAGAAACCCAGCAGAAGGGATTAGGAATGTTACACGGAACTTTATCTTCCACACATCCACAATACAAATCTCAATTTCCAGCCTCTCTGATAATTAGAGGCTTGAGAAAAGCACCATATTAGGTCTTTGTCTTAAGAGAATGTCATTTTATGGATGTGCTATTCTCCTGAAAGAAACATTGCTTCTAGCTTTTGTAAACCACACTGCAGCAGTGATAATGTACTTTAAGAGTTGCCTGAAAAGTAGTATTGTTACAATATTATGAATTACAAAATCATTTCACAGACTTTGCTCCTATCCTTTATTTAAAACTGTTTGCAGTTGAAGTGGAACTTAATGGAAGAGAGAAAATGGGTAAGGCTGGTTCTGCTCTGAAAACAGTTTTGAAATACACAGGGCAGTTACATATAGTTAGCTTATTACTGTTAAAAATTAATCAGGGGAAAAAAAAAAAGAAAAAAGAAAAAGGATGAAGGCATAAGCTACAATAATAATGCAGACTATTTTCATGTACATCAATGAGAAGGAGATACTACAAGGCACAGAGAGTATTAAATAATGACATGTGAAACAAATTATGCAGAAAAACAACAAGCATGGGGAAAGTTCTTTGGAGTTGCTTCTCTTGGTTGTTAATAGTACTTTCTTCTGCCAAATTGAAAGGATAATGAAGCTGCAGTGCTCAGATATAGTGTATTGCTAGATACTTTCATTCTGTGGTCTGTGTGTTAACAAAGGAGAAACCAAGCTGGAGGACTGGACTGTACAGGTGAAGTTGGCTTCAAAGCATTACAAACCCACTATTAAGCTTGCTTCGCAAAAGAATACTTGGCAGTTTCTTGTAGCATTAAGCCACAAGAAACCACGATGCATCGTTGTCAGTTCTGATACAGCCACACTTTTATGTTATGAGGAACACCAGTGACAGTTTTAGGTCTTTTTTAGGTCTTGTTCTGATCGTAGGCAACTAGAAATGTAAGAAACTTGGCTTGTGAATCCTCAGTGCAACAGCCAGATGCACACGCAGCTTCTTGTTGCTTGCATCTCCCACCAGCTGTAAGCCCTGGTAACTTCTGTCCCTCTCGTCCCTTTTCCCCAGAGCTCACTTGAGTGGCAGTGTGATGCAGAGGGCTGGAACAAGGGGGCAGCAGCAGAGATCTTGGTGAAGGGGGAGCAAGAGAGAAAGAAGGGGGTACAGTGTACAGTCGTATGTATGCAAAGGTAGAGAAGTTATTGCATGCTCTTTTGGAAACAGATAGATATTAAACTTGCATTAGATCAAATGGGCACTTAATAAAGCACACTCCAGAAAATCATGTTTTTGGTCATCAAATTTAAAGACAAAAACTAAAAAGATCCATGAAGTGTTGCAGACGTTTAACATGAAATGCAAGACCGTGACATCAGTCAATCAAGAACATAAGGTACTTCAGCACAATGTTACTTACAGTACCTTAATAAATTACTTAAACGTGAACCCTATCCTTCCTGCCAAAATAGATTTTCGAACTCCTCAAAGGGACACCTAAGTAAGTAGCCAACGGGACACACATGTAAGTAGCCAACTCTGAACACCTTCAAAGTTTTCTGTGTACCCTTTAGAGACGGTAACATTTTATACTCTCATTACTTATACTGAGTTTTAAATGAAGTACTACACTTCCATGTTTAAGCTACTGCCAATAAAATTAAGATATTCAGAGAGAAAATTGATTACTCACATCCTTCTGACTAACTACTACATCATTTCTAAAACTGAGCAAATATGTAAACTGTTACCTAGTAGCTGTAAAAAAAACACACCTCTCTCCCCAGATGCTTCAACCCATCACAGTCACAAACGCTGGCCAGAAGAGTCACTAGCATTACATTCTCTAAAAATGACTGATGGTGTCATGCTCTCATTTTGTATCTAGACATCTGTTCAAGTAAAGCCCCATCACATTTCTCTCAGAAAGGTCAGTAGCTCTCATGTTACTGGTTTAAAGATCTCTCCGTGATGAGCTGGATTTTTTTAAATTATGTGTACATGGTTTTATATGTATCTTCACGTATATACACTACTCAGAACTGCAGCAGGCACAAGTAGACATGATGTGGCAACTGAAGGATTGCACCTACATAAACAGAGGAGGCAATAATTATAGAGCTTCTAAACCTGCTTGATTTCCCAGCTGTAAACACACACGCTGCAAACCTGTGCAGAGTCTGTAATTTTAAGTGGAACTTAGAATCTATTTGTCAAGGTGGAAGAGCTCGATCTTAAATTACCAAAAATATGTAGATCAAAATATAGGCAATGTGGCTATTTTGTATTTGGCATTAAAAAAAAAAAACAAACAACAACAACAACAACAACAAAAAAAAAAACTAGAGCTTATAGAAATCTAATTCCAAGCAGTGTTTATTATCATTTCAGAGGATAAACATCTGTAAGGGACATGATATCTAAGGACAAACCTCGCAGGCAATCAGGAGTTAAGTATAAAGCTTGAACAAATGAAATTGAGTATGTAAACTACTATCAAAACTGAAACACAAAGTTTCACTTTTTCAGAGTTTCCACAATTCTCTCCTGAGAGGAAAGGAAGTTCCACAGTGCAAAAGGGAATGATTATAATGATGCAGTTACCCTTCTTTGAAGCAAACATTTTATACCTGTGCCAAAAATATATTTTAAAGATCATCTTTGAAATTATTAAGGTACAGAGTAATGGATATAAAGCAGTATTTAGATTTAAAAAAAAAAGTTTGTGAATGATACCTAAATGTGCCCCTCCCACCCCTGTAATTTAAATTTCAGGTGACCACATACTCAAAATGAAAAGAACCATCCCTCTCTCTCCAAAATCTATAATAGTGTAAAAAGCACAAATTTACCAGTAAGTGTAATTAGGAACAAATGACAAGATCTCTAAAATCTACCACTGAACTGTGTGGTAGAAAATAATGTAATATTGATTAGCCTTATTGTAATACAACATACCAAATTTGTGAATGCTGTATGTACTATGTGGAAAGACATAGTAGCAAAAACCACTGAGCTCACAGCATAGTGTCTTAATAACCTATGTCTAATTTAAAAGGCAAATATTCAGAATTCTGTTTTATCCTGTGCCACTTCTGGATCCTATACAATACCTAAGTGTATGAAAGTAATTATTTTTGTGTCATGTGGTTATGAATAAAGTCAACAAAACTTGCAATTTAAATGAATCACTGGGGCACCATGTAGAATTCTACTTTCTTCAAAGAACTCCATGAAAGGATTACACATGTAATTGAAAGAATGGGGAACACAACAAGCAGCAAGGAATATACTGTTCTCAGACTTCAATGAGGATCTTCATCTAAACACTTTGTAACATAAAGTCCATTACACTTTTCTTAGAGAAATCTCTCCATCTTGTAGATAACCCATACACACTTTATTTCCCACTGCTAATCTCTCTAAGTGCTGCACAGGCTCAGTGTAATATTGGGGCAAACATATCCTTTAACCAAGCACACTCAACATCCTTTCAATGCTAAAGCTTCAGCACACTTGGTGTCTCTAAAATACAAAAAGTTAATAAAACAGATTCTCCTTTTACACTGAAGCTGGAGAATGTGTTTGTCAGCCTTAGAAAGTAACTAACATGTTCCAGTCAAAAAATCTCTGTTGATTATCATCTCTCTTGTAGTTTAAATACATTATTTCTAAGACCTAAATGAATTATATAAATAATATGCAACGTGGCTGCTCAAACATTAAACTATTTTCCCTCTGATTTCATCTGTCTTCTTCGGACACTTCAGATTTGTGCTTTTTACTGTTACTTTTTTTTTTTAAGGGAAGATATACAATTAGCAGCTAGAAAATGGTCTTCTTACACTGCTTTCAGTAACATGTGTCCCTTTTTATTTCTTGACCATTAATATTTTTGGTAATATTACTGTACAATAAATATGTTTAAACGATCAGCATTTAACAAGGCTAGATGTGTTTTTTCTCAGTGGACTGCACAGCAGACTGCTCAACACGACTATCAACACAATAAAATATAAGCAACCTTTCATCCCTAACTATATATGCTTCCTGCACAGTGTATTACACTAAAGTCATCATGGTATTTTATTCTCTTCAACTGATATGTGAACAACTTGTCACTGCTGTGCTGCTAAACTGTATCAATCATATAAACGAAGACCCTTTCCCCCCCCTTATATGGCTAGTTCAGAAAAACTTGTCTTAAAAAAAACTCAAGTGTTCACTCCAGGGACTTCAACTAGAGTTGAGAAACACTCAAGTGTTCTCCAGAGCGATAGGCAAACTCATCTTGTCCTATAGGCTGCCTGAGGTAAAAACAAAAACAAATGACTACTAGGATTTTATTCTGGGGAGGATGCATTTCTCTCTTATACTCAAGTATAACATCAGAGGTGTTAGGAAGTCTTGTCAAGGAGCTATATTCTTTTTAACGATTGGATGCAACCGGTTAACTTGTGTTTTTCCCCAAGGTAACTGTAGTACACAAGTTCTTCAATGCAGCATACATGTATTCTACTATGTGTCGCTTTTAGCTGAGTGCCCTGCTAAATAAACAGAAATGCACTCCTACTAAAATTTGGGGTGTTCCACTGTCCTGCTTCTCTACACAGACTCTTCTAAGCTAGCTGACAGGTCATCTCTCACAGGAAATACTTCCTTTGGTCCACACTACTCTCATCCAGCTCTCCTGAGAAGAATGCCACCTACTCCAGTTTGAGGTCATCCAAAATGTGAAATGTGATCTGACAGTCAAGTGCTTAGTCCAAAGTCATGATTTACTACATCAGCATAGATTCCTTAAACGCATCTTTGCATGAAAATGAGTCTAAATTTTAGCGTCGCACCAATACTTTTATAGACTTGTTTTCTAAATAGAAAACTCTACAATGTAATTACTATTCTATATGGGCTGTTTTATTTTTACTAAAACATCAGAAGTGCTAAGATCTTCCAGATCAGCATTTGTGACAGAAGCTGGTCATGCAGAAGAGGCATTTCTATCACACTACTTTTGTTTAGAAAAGTGAAGAAGTTATATTTCTGTCAACAGAAGCATAAAGTTGTTTAAAATAACTCTGCCCATATGCTGGAAGCTTTTACATTTTTTTTCCCCTCAAGGACAACACTTTTAACCCTTTCTCACAAACTCAACTCATTTTCTTCTTCAGCTTCCACATTCTTCAGCTGGGATACTTCTAGTTCAAGGCCTCTCAAAGTCAAACAGCTAGGAAAGATGAGCTGAGCATTCCTTGAGTTGCAGAGCAGCTGCACAAAAAAGGAAAATTGCATTTTCAAGTGCCAAACAAAGAATACTTTTAACCCGCAAGAACATCATAACTTTTTGGGGGATATTACAGTTTTAACTCTTTCTGTGAAGAATGTCATTCTGATTGTTTTCAGTGGGTTTCAATGCATACAGTATGAACTGGTGACCATTTACATTATTGCATTACTGCAACTTCCTGGCATGAGCTTGCCATCCATTGCCTACGTCTGTGCATTGAATTCAGTCATAAAAGGAAATCAAAGGCTTCCCACTTTATTAAATAACATTAGCAGCAGAAACAAGTATTCTTACGTTATTACAAATCAGTAATGAAATAACATGCAGACGACTTTAAACTGGACCTCAATTTTTCTAAGTCTAAGCATGTATTGGTTGAGGTCATGGACTGAGATTATAATTCTAAAATAACCGTTTTAAAATATAGTTAAAAATGACAGCTACCTCTCATTTTTATCCAAGTCAGAAAAGGTTCCTGGCTAACAGTTCAGTGCATCATCCTCTTCAATAAGGAGCACATGATAGCAATTAGAACAACAAAGACATTGTTCTAATACAGTTAGTTACACTTCAGTACCTCTTTTAAGCGCATACAGCCATGGCCTTCTACCACTTCAGAACTGAGCATTCACAGAAACTTTAATACATTCTTGACCATCATTAAGATTCCTCATGAATTGTCTTTTTTTTTTTTTTTTTTTTTTAATAAATTATGCTATCCTACACCAACTATTGTGTATAACTGGGAAAACATTGTCTTTATGTCCTTACTTCAATCCTTGACCTCTGACCTCATCTTTTCTTGCTGTTCTTTATCTGCCTGGGATCATATGACAAAACAGTACAGAAGATACGATTGGGTACCCGATCTTCACAACTCTTAAGCCTTTTTACTATCCTTACTATGAAGTATTTGTGCTATGTTCCTTTGGTTATTATATATTTAGATTCACAGTATGAATAACAAACTATTGACCAATGCCACAGCTTTAATGATGATGTTATAATGTTGAAATACACATCAGTGACATAGTATTATATATTTCAAGCATGGGAGAGGAGAGGATATATGAAGTATTTGGTTTTATCTGAGGAGTACAAGGATTGCAGCATACTGAAACCAATCAGCAAGCAAAGCTGATTCTATAACTTCTACCAAAATTTTAAAAATATATAAAGCAATAGCTCTTTCATTCTCCGTGCCCTCAAAATTACCCCATTATCTGTGCATTTACATTAATATATCTTCTTTTGGAACCCTAAGATGCACTGCTGTAGTACAGTTCCCATACTGCTCCAGTACAGCTCCCATAGTTCCTCCTCCTATTCCTTCCTGTTTAACTTGGACCAAAATGTTCTGACCTCTACAAAATCTCATTAGAACATCTGTAAACATGATCCTGAGCTATATCCTACTTGTTATCACAAAGACAAAAAAAAAAAGACAAATAATTCCAGAAAAATTAGAACCTTTTGATTAGACTATTTTCTCAATCCATATTTGTCAATAGCAAAGGATGAGGAACTATGGTTAATTCAAAGGTAGTTTCAGAAATGATAAATGGGGAGAGCAGGCTTTATTATCATGATTTTTCAGGTCACTGCTTTAGAAATGTTTGTCCTTTTTCAGCTTTGATTCATACAATAAGAAGTTCTTAATGGTTTTGGGCCTAGTATTATCTCATTTTTTACTGCCAAAACCTGTTACAGAGAAATAATTGTGAACAAAGGAAGTTATGTATGACAAAGTGTGTATGCTTTGCATAGAAATTGCCTCCATTTGCATACTGATAAACACTTAAAAAAATCAAAATTATGATTTTGTTTTTCTCAGTTGATAAGATCTCCAATCTTGTATTTGATTCCTCTTTTTCAATATGTCATACATATTGCTGTTTTCCTGTACTGAAAAATACACAGTTTAACAAACTGGAGATCCGGCTAAACAGTTTTTAATGAATAGCAATTAACACTTCCGTGGCTATCACATAATTAGTAAACATTTCATTAAAAGGAAAAAAGAAGTGCTACCTTGTGCTACAATTACTTTGTATCTATGTCATATATAGGGCACAACGTAGATCCCTTCAAACGGAAATGCGTAGGTGACCCCACCCTTGCGAAGACCCAATTATGCTACTGGGGATCCATTCACCCACATTCATCCAGTTAGGTGACAATGCTCTTCTATCTGATCTACAACAGACACCAGAAATATTTTTTTCTGTATTTCACCCATCCTGCAACAACGCATACATATTGGAAAAACATCCACAATGTTCAAATTTAAATATAAAAAGAAGAAATCAAGTCCCAAGACATAATGGAATGCTCACTTTTAATTCTTACAATTTCTTCTATTTGCCTATATGTACTACTTTCTTTTAAATTAACCTCTAAAAAAGTCTACTTCCACATACAGGACTTTTTTTTTTTTCCTTCTTCCCCCAGTATCAAGCATTTATTAATGCTGTTTTGGAGTCAACATTTTAATTAGCATCAAGATAGTGAAAATCTTAACTATGGAAAGACAGTTTGGACTTTAAGAAATCTAAATTATAAACTCTGTCATAGCAAAACACCAATAACATCTGCTTTTAAAATATCCATTTTAAAATCTACTTAGCTAAATTTAATTAGCACATTTATTTCCACAGGAACATACTAGATCACATTTGAGAAAACCATATTTGTTAAATTGCTGTGAAGTTTTAGGTCCAACTACTTTCTTCTTGTCCTGGCTGTTGGCTTTATTAAGATAAAAATTAAACTTCAAAACAACAGGCATACCACAAAGGGACACAGTGCCCTATCTCCTACTAATGAGTTATGGTTCTGTCAGTATGCGGCTCCATATAAACTATTTGCCTCTCTGACATTTTGAGGCTTGTAAGCTGTCCCATGGCTGGGACAAAGTAGAAATCACCCAGTATTTTGTTCCATTTGGATTTAGTTTAAGAATTATACAAGACCTGTGCAATTTAACCTCTATGTATATGTTAAGATTCAATTATTCTCTGCTAAGAAGCCTTATATTAGCATTAGAGGCAAAGCTCTCAAGAACTAGATGATCTGTTATAACAAATAGCAAACTGATCTTAGAACTAGTATGAAAACTTAGGACATCATACAGATTAATTACAGGAACCCTTGGTTTATTTTATGTTGTACAAAAAGGCCATCAGAATCAATTTACAGTACCTTTCATCTTGTCCCAGATCCTCACTGTCTGGCATTTCAGACGTAAAAATAAATTACGTCTCCCACTCTCTACCAATTTAGATAATCCAGGCAAAGATCTTCTAGTCTGTTTTGTGTTTTAGAAGCACCACACCAGGAACCTGTTCTGTTTGCAGTGGAGAAAAGCTCCTCGCTCAGAGAGCAAATGTTTACAACACATCCTAAGTGTCTGCTTGTCTTGAATGAAGTTCGGAGTGTTCTGCGTTGATTGGCCAATGCTATAAATAAACAAGTCGTGACTCACCTCGCACACTATGACAGGGTGTTTAGTAGCAAGCACAGCCAAGAGCACAACATTTTTTTTTTTCTTTGGGTCATGTGAGAGAGAATCATCACCCGGTTATTACATCTTATTTTTCTGCTTCCACTGGAATTCTTCCTCAGTGTCTCCCATTTGCTCAGGTGCAAGCGAGCATAAACCAAAATGATATGAAGCTAAACAGCACAGAGCTTTAAAGTAACACATTTAGAAAACATAAGAGTGAAGAGCTTACTGTAACTGTAAAAATTTCTATTTTTACTTCCCACAAAGTGCCAGTCACAACCTGTCAGAACAAGCAAAATTTTTCTCCGCTGACTAAATTCACAGCCGAAATAAAAACTTAGCATTCTTTTAAAATAAGGATTAGGAAGAGAAGTTTTTATTACTGATTAATTGCATTATTTTTAAGTTCTGATTCCAAACTTGTCTGCCACAAGCAGTCTCAGCTGTCATAGGTATAGTGGCAAATTATACTGGCAGTCCTCTCAGAAATGAAAGTATGCCGACAGGTGGAGGCTTTCTGCCAAAATACTTCCAAACTCTTTGTGAACAACCTAAGGTGAACTGACAAAATCACTTTCCTCGTATCACTTTTTTCTGCATGCATGACAGGGATTCTGTCACTCCAGCTACACCAGATATGTTTCTATTAATTTTCAACACCCCTGCCACCTTATCTGTGCTGATGAAGCTTTGTAGTGCAGTCCAAGACTCTACGGGTCACGTATTTATGTTGTTCAGCACTGCTCCTTTGCACAGCATCTTTCTTCCATTAAACAGCCTGACCTGTTCTTTGTATAGTTTCAAACAACTATCCCATCCAAAGACCCTCACATGGATTTTTTTTTCTTTCTCTATAAGGGAGTGTATACCAAGACTTAGGCTTAGATCTGCCTGTCCAGCACTTAAGAATTGTCCTATGAATGTCACATCTTAAAGATAAAAAAAAAAAAAATAAAGCTGGAACAAAGGCAGGGCAGATTACAAATAACCACCCTGTATCCTCAATTTGGTAAGCTGTACTTGATGCATTGTGGGTCATACAGCTGGATGCTGCTTAATTTTCAAAACCACAAGCGACCATAGCCTTTCTTCTTATTTCTATATAAAATGCGTCAAAACATAAAGTAAGATCTAAATAAAAATTGCAAAAATTCCCCAAACAGCATAATCAGAGATCCATTAACTTAAATTGTATGATTTATATTTACTTCGCAAGTATCTGAATTAATGACGTGATCTCAGTAAATGGGGAGTAAACAAAACAGAAAAGGAACACTGGGTGTCTGAAGAACAACTTACTTTACTATTAGCATTTACTGTTACTTTACTATGTAGCATTCTCATCAGTTCTTTTCTTAATCCCATCCAGTCTTCCTTTCCTCAACCTTTTGTATGACATGTTGTTCTTGTAATGGTTTAGTCCTACTGGACTTTAAACAGAAAAGAGGGAGACTAAAAACAGGAATAAAATCCTAC